GAGAGAGAGAGAGAGAGAGAGAGAGAGAGAGAGAGAGAGAGAGAGAGCGAGAGCGAGAGAGAGAGAGAGAGAGACGTGAAGGGGAAAAGACGTCAAGTTTGTGGACATAGGATTCGGGTGGTTGGTCCCCAAAGGGTATTATACAGGTGTTAATGATGCAGGGTGAAAACTCTCGTGGTGCAGAGTCGTCTTCTTGTTCGGCAGCAAATGAACAAGAGGGATGGAATCCGTATCCTTGGAAGAGAAGGTACCGATCTCCCTCACGCCCTACTGATCTGCTCTCGCAACAAGCCGAAGAGCTGATGGCTGATGCTAAGAAGATGCGTGATCGACCAGAGCTTTTGGATGTTACCTTTGTCTGTGAGGGGAACAAGCAGGTCCGTGCCAATCGTGCCTTCCTGGCAATGAGAAGTGACTACTTCTCAAAGCTACTTTATGGTGGCATGAGAGAGAGTCGAATGGATGTTGTCCCGCTTCCGCATGCTCATGTGAAAGCTCTAGAAACCATCGTTGATTTCCTTCATGGAAATCACCTGGAGCCCTCTAGTCTGTCTTGCGAGGACATGGTGGATGTCTACTGCATGGCCGAAGAGTATCAGATTCGTGGCCTTGGTGCACACGTTTCCTATTACATCTCTGCAATGGACTCCTTCCTGGACATCGGCAAGTTACTGAAGGCGTCCATTCCAAGAGAAGCAGAAGCAGTGCTGAAGATCGCGATGCGCGTCTTTGATGAGAGGATCTTGTTTGACCCCCCTTGCTTTAATGGTTGGTGCAAGGAATCTATCATATATTGCCTGAACCATTCTGCTTTTCTGGATGGCGTTGAGGTGAAAGTCGTTGCTGAGGCAGTCCTTGAAGCGGCAAATCTTCGTCCGATGAGGGTGGCAGCAAATGCAGGTGCCGGAGGAGCAGCAGCTGCAGGTGGGGCTGCAGCAGCCGCTGCTGCCATCACAGCAGCCAATGCTGCCACTGTAGCCGGCACAGGCAAGGGTGATAGCGGCAGTGAGTCTCCGTTGAGTGACATGATGGGACTCTCCAAGGAAGATGTTGTAGAGATCTTTGAATTGCACTTGAAAATGGAGCGAATGGATCCAGTCTTCTTGGCAGACAAGGTGCAGCCGCTTGCGATCTTCCCGGAGAAGCGCTTCTCCGATGTGTACCTCGCACAGCTGCTGCATTGCTTTGGGAAACTACAGGATAAATCGGATTACACGATACAGGGGAAGAAGGTTGAGAAAGAGGTGTCATGGAATGATGCAGTGATGGGAAGCGGAATGAACACGTCACCTCAATGCCCAACAAAACTCTGGTATGATTTTGCATTGCAGCAGCGAGGAGGGCGGCAGGAACGGGGGGCTAGACTTGCGTTGCCTCTATCGACTGGCAAACACTACTGGAAGGTCCGACTGTCTCCGCCGGCAGAATCGATCTGGTTTGGCGTGGTTGATGCGAGGGCCGACCCTGAGGTTGGGTTTGTTGGTCGCGAAGGTGAGTGGATGTATGGGAGTCGCTCAGCTGTGTGTATGGGAAATGGTCACAAGTACTCTTTCGAGCCACAATTGAATTTCCGTAGCACTCTGGTGGCGGTTGTCATCTTGGATATGGAAATGAGAACCCTAACATTTGCCAATGACATGGAGTCTTACGGCAAGTATCGGGGTAATTACCCGGTCGCATTCACCAATCTTCCAGATACAGTTTACCCTGCAGTATCATTGATCCCCCGTGGTTGCGTGGAATTGCAATGGGTGCATTCATTTGAGGATTGATTGTTTATTCATTTGCTGATTGATTGGTTGGTTGGTTGGTTGGTTGGTTGGTTGTGTAATGACCTGCAAAATTGCAGACTGAGAAATCTGCTGTCTTCTGAGTGTTGCTGCATGCTAGACTGATTTGCTGAGATTCCCGTGTTCTCCAGAGTGCTGGCTGATAACCAGTGTGTTTGCTGTGTGTCTGAGAACCGGTATGTGTGTGTGACCCGCTGTTGAGGGCCGATGTGTTGATATGGCCCTCAGGCCGGTTCTTACCTGTGCCCGTGTGACTTGTGGGGTTGCAGTGGGGGAAGTAGGGTAGGTTAGGTTGGAGCCCAGAGTCATGAAGCAGCAGGTAAAGTAGCAGATAAGACAAAAAGGTAGTGCCTTTGGGACGCCAGGTAATATTTTAGAAGTCCGGTAGGCTTAGGGGTAGGTACCAGTCCGGCAGGCCTGAGTCTAGAGCCTGCGGGAAGGGGATATCAGACTGTAATGATGTTCCCACCAAAAGTAGAAGGTACCGGTAGATTTGGGAGGTCACGCGGCCTGGAAGTCACCACGTGAAGACGCACTAGTGCGGTTTATCAGTTGCGGAGGCGAATAGTTCAGCCTCATTTGCTCGCTTGCACTTGCGGGCACGCTGCATGAGCGCGCACCCAGCAAGTGTAGCACTGGGGGAAGGAAGCAGGCGTAACTTGGACCCCACCTCGGCTATGGTGGAGGTCGCCAAGTCAAAGGCAGCAGAAGGCCTGGATATGGCCGAGGCCTAGGAAGGAGGAGGAAGGAGTGAAGGAGGAGGAGGAAGAAGAACAAGGAGACCGAGGAAGAAGGAGGAGGAGGAGGGAGAACAAGGAGACAGAGGAAGAAGGAGGAGGAGGAGGAGAGTGAAGAAGGGAGCTTACCTTGGCCATGGTGGTCTGCATCTTCATTTTCTTGGTTGGTGCTGCACCTTGAAGACCCCAAGTGGGGTAGTACTTGTACGGATGACTCCAGGGGTGGAATGTGGCAAGGCGGCCATAGAGGGAGAGGCACGGTACCTTTTCGTTGTCCTCTGAACATTGGAGCTAGGCTCCGATGGTCCGCCATCGCCACCGACTGGCCTGAGTAGAAGAAGAAGGTGTAGGATGGCTATGGTGGACATCTTGAGTGGCTGGCAGTAAGGGGAGGATTCGGGCATTGATTCTGGTTCATTCTTTCATTATTGTTGTGATTATTATTGATAATAAGAAGTTGGAGGAGATGTTGGAAGAGAGGGATGTTGGCGAGATGAGGAAGAGGGTGCATTGGTTCTTGCTTGTCTTCTTCTTCTTCTTCTTCTTCTTCTTCTTCTTCTATTCTCATTTCTTCTTCCTCCTTCGTCTATTTCTCTTTCCAATCTCTTTTTCGGTTGCATTTGAACGGCATTGTCTCTCATTCAAGTGCAACTTTCTTTTGAGATTTTCACTGTGAAATAGCCAGGATCATAACAGTTGGTTGATTAGGTGGCTGGTTGATTGATCATTGGTTGATTGGTGTACTTTCACCCACGGCCCCATTCAGACAGCATGCCATATGAGGGAAGCAGTCCCTGCTTAGATGGAAATGTGGGCGCGTAATGCCTGCGTATTTGTTCAAAGGAGTTTGTTTAAGGTTGTAGAAGTTGTTGGACTGCTTTTGTAGCGGGACCGCAGAAGGGTTGCATGTCCATTCGCTTACCAGAAATCGATTCAATCAATTAATCATTTTTTTACATAATGATCATTAGTGATCGCGCAGGTGGTGGGTGTGTCCTTGTATTCTTCTTCTTCTTCTTCTTCTTCTTCTTCTTCTTCTTCTTCTTCTTCTTTGAAGTACAGAATCTCGTGGGGGATGTCTCCTTGTATTCTATTCCACATGGCTCTGTAATTGCCAGGACTTTTGTGTTTTCTCAACTTTTCTGGACTTTCTTGATGGTAGTTATAATAATGATGATGACGCTTTGGTGATGACTGTGGTGGTGGTAGTGGCCAATCACCACTTCACCGTCGACCAACTGCCGACGTTAATCCTCTCAGTTGCTTCCTCCTCCTCCCCCTCCTCTTGCTCCCGTACCATGGCTCCACCTCTCCTTGCCCCTCTTCCTCCTGAGCTAACCGTTTCCTCCTGATCCCAGTAGACTAACCGTCCCAGTTTGTTCTTCTTCATCCCCCTCCCCCTCCTCCCTTGTTGCTGTCACCGTCATTACCATCGTCACCATCATCACCGTCTGCACTGCCATTTACCGCACATGGACTTGTGATCGACTTGACTTGGCATTGGGATACCTTGTGAGTGTGAACTATGAACCTGGATGTTAAACCTGGGTTTGTTTAAGAACTTGATGGGCGGCTTTGTTTGTTCGGTGGTGGGTAAGTGTCACGGTGCCCCCTGCATTGTCTACGATGGGCAACAGCATGACAACATAATAATTGCAGGTGTAATGGTACTGCAAAATACAATGTTGGTAAGCGGTACTAAGCACTAGTGTACAATAGTTAAGTGATGGATGCATTTTTTGTCTTTTTTATTCAAAATACAATGTTGGTAAGCAGTACTAAGCACTAGTGTACAATAGTTAAGTGATGGCTGCATTTTTTGTTTTTTTATTGTTTTAGCAGCAAGTCCCTGAGGGGCGTCAGTCGGGTTGCTTATTACTGGCAAGCATGACGCAGGCAAGTAGGAGAGAGAAAATGACGGCCGCATTTCACAACCATTCCGTTACAATTGCTGTAACAAGTAGTTTAGAAGGCCTATGTTGTGATGGCTGCATCTTGCTACCCCATCATGCATGCTCAGATTATATAGAAGGTGACATGTCCTGGACAATGGGGGTAATTGGTAGTGCCTGCATCTCGCAATCACCATAATATGCATCAACCGAAAGGTAACCAGTTGCTCATAATGGTGGGCTAGGCTACCAGCTGGGCCGCCCGGGTCMCCCTGTTTTCCCGGGCGGCCCGGCCGTGCAAGGACCAGGGAAAAAAAAAAAAAAAAACACCGAAAGAAAACTATGTTATGCAGAAAAATAAACTGATCAACTTTTTTTTTTTTTTTATTAATTTGGACCATTTCTCGATTTATGCGTGTCATCCTTGCTTGCGCAGGGGCCATGCTAATCTTCTCTGTATCGTTCCAAGTAACGGATGTCCCGAAGGACAAACTGACCAACTTTTGCCTCAGGGTCACATCGAAATTTTTACGAAAAAAAAAAAAAATATATATATATATACAGGGTTCAGCCTCCTGATGAGTCGGTGAAACTCCAACGAAACAGTTTGTCACAGCCCCTCGTTTGTTGTCCTCTTCTCCCTCTCTGCCTACAGTTTACCAGGGAGCTCTGTTTGATGGCCTGTGGGCAAGGGCGGTGCTTGCATGTGGGACTTGTCATCTGGGATCTGTTTTGTTGCCCCCTGTTCTGTATTATTTGGCTATTCCCTTCCTCTTTTCTTTGCCTCTTTGCCTTCTGGCTGTGTGCAAGTGGGTCGATATGACACACGGGGTTGGGGGCAGACGCCGCTCAACCTACATCCACGTGGGCGGCCTTGTACGCAAGAGGTTCTGAACAGGGGGAGTTGTAAGGAAGAAGGTTAAAAATGAATTAAGTTTTTCTTGTTTCTGTTTTTCGCTTTGGCGCTCTGATATCATGTGACAATATATATGACTATATCTTGTCAAACAGAGCTGCGCGGTAAACCGTAGGCAGAGAGGGAGAAAAAGAGGACAACAAACGAGGGGCTGTGACAAACTGTTTCGTTGGAGTTTATATATCTGTTTGACGATATATTATATACATAATTTTTATTTTTATTTTTTATTTTTTTTGGCCCGGCTGGGCAAGTGATCCCGGGCCACTCTGGTAGCTTAGATGGTGGGTGTAATTGGTAACCAGTAGTTTAGAATAGGTATGTGATGCATGCATCTCAAACATTTTCTTTTTTAATGGGGTGATCACAACTGTCTATATTCTTCTCTCAACTTCTGTTTTTGTTTACCTTCTACTACCTACTCCTAAGACTATCTAGAGGGGACCCCTGCATGCATCTCAAACATAACAATGCACTGACTAAAAGATAACCAGTGGTTTAAAAAGGGGTGTAAAGATCTGTGATGCCTGCATCTCGTAAGCATCACAATGCATTGACTAAAAGGTAACCAGTGGATTACAATGGTGGATGGAATTGGTAAGCTTAGAATAGGTCGGTCTTCGACGCCTGCATCTTTGCAAACATTATAATGCATCAACTAAATGGTAACCAGTGGTTTAAAAATTAAAATGGATGTGATTGGTAGTTCGGAACAAGTTTGTGATGCCGGCATCGCAAAACCATCATAGATATACATGGACAGAATGGCAACAGATTGTTTTACAACGGTGGATGTAATTCGGGTGTTTAGAATAGGTATGCGATGCCTGCATCTCAAAACCATTATTATTCTTATCAAGGTGACCAATGGTTTACAACTTTACAGTCCATTCAATTTGATTTAACCATGAGTCCAAAATAGGTCAGTTATGGGAAGCATTTCACGAAAGAGTGCTGTACAATAGGAAAGCGATTTCATTAACTGGTAGGAGCTACGTGTGGAAGGTGCTGCTGCTAGAGGAGGTGGTTCACATCACCCACTCTAGCACACTGGCGCAAAATAAGCAAACAAACAAACAAACAAACAAACAAGCAAACAATAGGCAAGGCCAACAGTGCACAAGCCGTCAGTTCAATTGCCATTCAATTGCCATTCAATTGCCTTAACACACCGACTTTTCGCTTTTTTAAAGTAACCACCAGTCCCCCCACCACGAAAAACCTTGGGGGACCGGTAGCATATTTTCATGAGGGTTACCAGTACCACAGTATGGAAAACTGGCACAATGGTGCAGTAACCCTGTTCAGAAGTAGCCTGGGGCCCAGAACTCAGCCCCAGGCCACGCAGACCTGAGTCAGTGTGCACTGGGCTGTGCGACCAAGACACGCCCAGGCCTGAGTCTGCTGTGTTTGGCTGTGTGACCAAACGCTGCGCACTGGAAATTCAAGGGTCAAAGTGAACTGTAGAGTCAAAGGCACCGTGCCCAGGCCCTTGGTTGGATACACTCACTTGTTGTGCGCAGGTACCCTGACAGCATCCAGGCCGGAGGGAATTCGGTTTCAGACCAATCTGGGCCCTCGTTTGCATTGAGATCTGGACGGCTGAGGGATGCAGCATCCGGGGTCCAGACCCCGTGTCAACGCCTCATAAGCGCTGACTTCCTGGCTTTGACAGTCATTCATTCTGTCTTGCGTCAATGCTGACTTCACGCGTTGACGACGCGACACTGGCTCGACGCTGCGACGCTGGTGGACGCTGGCTTGGTGCTGGCATTTGGGAGATTTGTGGCGACGCGCTGTTAGCTCGGCATGGTGGCTGGCTGGCTACTGTCTTCAAGGCATGCTGGCGTGGCAGCTGCCATGCGTTGTTGCTGACGTGGCTGCTGCCACGTGTTCTATGGCTGGGACTATGTGACCGGCACTGCTGTTCTGTTCATCGTCATTTCAGGAGGAGATCAGTACTGTGGAGAGATCGTGGATACTTACCTGGTTGTCTTCATGTCGACATTGCTCCAGCGCTGATGAGAGACTGATTAGACGTGCCATGTGGCAGTGTGAGGGTAGATGTACCCCTCTCTGACTTGATATTTTCTAGCCGGCTCCACATATAGCTGCTGTATGAAGTGGCTCTTAAGAGGGGCCATGGAGGCCAAGGTGGAGGACTTGTGTGCATCTGCCTGTGCCGGAGCTGATAAAGCTTTGAGTAATTGGGGGGGAGGGTGTTGCACACTTCCGGGCGCAGAGGTAGAAGTGGAGGGAGTGTCCTTGGGGCACATGCCGTTCGCCGCTACCTTATCCCTCCATGTTTCTCTGTTGCCCCCTGGAATTGCCACGTCGTTAGTCATCGGCTCAGGTCCTGCGGCCTTCTTGTCACTTCGAAGTTGGACAATCTCTTCCGTGCGGCTTTCCGTAACTCTGGTCGTGACTGCCGACTCTAAGGGTCGGGCATTGCTTTTTCGCTGTTTTTTGTCCGACGGCAGGGGCCCTGAAAGGGCTGGTGCCGCTGGTTTTTGGTTGGCGTCCTACGAGGGGAGGGGGGGGGGGGAGGGTGTAACCTGACCGTCCCCTTTCTACAGATCGATGCCACCTGATGGCTTATGCTGCCATATCTGTCCACATCATTTGTTCCCGAATTTGCCGCAGCTGATATTAACCGCACCCGGAACTTTGCCTGCGTGTCGCGTGTCTCTTTTTCGTTGTGCAAACCATCCCTCTCCTATCTTGTGTGTGATTGTGCATACAATGTGAGTGATCTGGCGGGGGCTATTTAGGGCGAATCTGGAGCAACTATAGTGTGTGCACTCGCAGGTTTGTTTCTGGCGTGAGTGGTTCATTTCTCCAGTTTTTTGTTGTGGAGCCACTGGGAAGCATCACGTGCTGAGAACCGGGCCCAGCATCCTTTCACAAAAGGGAAGATAATTTTTTCAAGCACAAAAGGTAACAGGAATTTCAGGTTGTCAATCATGTAGAAAAGTGTCGAAAAAGTATTTCGAGTAAACCGCCAGTCCCCTGGCGTGCTGGCTGCCGAGCCTATCCGCGGCCAGCGTCCGAACCTCTTCGGTGAAAATGAGGTGAAGGTTGTCTCTTGAAACGAATTATGTAAGCCTGCCCTCAAATGTAAGAAATTGGGGGCCATAGGAGGCTACCACTTCCAATTAAAAAGTAAAACGGAACCGGTACAGGCCCTTGCAAAAACAAAGAAATCCAGCGGCCTAGCTCAGTTGGTTAGGCATGTAAGTGGCATTCAGGAGGTTGTGGGTTCAAGCCCCATGGCCGCCTGCAGCGCACTTAGTGCCAACGGACTGTGATAGTCCTCTGGATACCCCTGATCGGTATTAGCGGGGTCTATGACCAACACGGGTGTGAGTGTGAGTGTGAGCGTGAGTGGGTTGTGTGTGGTGTGTGGGAGAGTGTTGGCCATAGCCTCTGCTGCTACTCGATGAACGGTGGGGGACGATGAGAAAGGGAGGCACAGCTACTGGCAGGTCTCGGTCTTTGTGTTAGCCAGACCCCCACTGGCGGCCCCAACCCTACACCCTAGCCATTAGGGGCAAGGGGCAACATGAAATCTCCCCTTCACAGAGAGAGGAAAACTATGCTTGCAGGGGCCTGGACCCACTAGCAAGGTATTCTACCACGCCGTTCAGGATTTCGATCACGTGTGGCATCGAGTGACTCAGTACGGCTGTCGAATAGATCGGATCTCGACGGCCTGGAAGTTTTCGAGCGGGGACTGTAAAGATGCCCACCTCCCGTCCAATGAGATGCGTCGAAAAAAAAAAAAAAACGAAGTTGGACATGATAGCTCATGGCTTTGCGTGGGCGGGAAGTCAGGATTTTATGGGCTTTAAAGGGGGGGGGTTGATTTCCAGACTTCGTTTTTTTTTTTTTTTGGCTCTGAGAAATAGAACTTGAAATGTGAAATTCGAATATTGTGGTGCATCTGACAGGAACGCTTCCGCGTCTGTCGGATGGCCTGCTAAAGGCATCATGAGATACATCGGGAGGAACGTATCCCAATACCCGTTACTTGTTCATCCTCGTGAATGTGTTCGTGGACACATTTTAATGCCAAGGTACATCACTATGAAGACTTACGTGAAGGAGATCGTACCAACCCATGAATTCGGGTGCACAGCTGTTCTTCATAATTTTATGTGCTATTTCAATTCAGTTTAAATCAGAAAAAAGATCCATTCATGCAAATAAAAAATCACCTTGTATTTTCCAAAAAACCATAAAACTGTTTCACACGTCGTAGAATACTTCGCTAGTGGGTCCAGGGCCCAGGGGTCCCCTCTAGATAGTCTTAGGAGTAGGTAGTGGATGGTAAAGAAACAGAAGTTGAGAGAAGAGTATAGATTAAAAAAAAAAAAAAAAAAAAAGGGAAGGTCGGGTACAGTCAGGGCCTAGTTCCACCGCACAATATTTTACATGTACCTTTCCATGAAAGGTCCCCATATGATCAGCACAAAGGGACGCTGAAGTTTCTTTTTCCTTCTTTCGCGGGGAGGAAGCCGTGTCAGGCGTACTCGCACCTGTGAGTATCTCCTTTTGGCTTATGCCATTGGTTTTCTGAACTGCACCATTTCATTTTTTTTTCCTTTTTTCTTTCTTTGGGTATCAGGGCTGTGTCAGATGTGCTGGCATTCTGTGAGAACCTCGCTCCAACTGACGTGATTGGTTTTGTTTTCGTTTTTGTTTGTTTGTTT